AAAAAAAAAAAAAAAAAAAAAAAAAAAAAAAAAAAAAAAAAAATGCAATGACAACTATATAGATAGGTAGTCACGGTGCAATTACCACCATTTGACAGACACAGAAACAATACGATGGCCTACCAACTATGCAAGGCTCCAAAAACTGATTCTCAGCAACTCCCAAGCAGAGGCTGCCCCCAGTCAACTCCCCACAGCTTTATGGCTTTGATGTCCCATAGTATGGAATAACTCTGGGCCTAATTCAGGCCACCTACACTGCCACAGCCCTTTCCCCAAATGCTGTATTACAGAGACATTGGCTTTTCCTTGACTGCGGAGACTAGCTTCAGGGCAGGTAAGACTGCACTAGGCAAGAGATCTGAATTGAAAAAGGCCAACAAAAAAGCTCTTTTTTAAGGCTTCTTTGAAGCCAGCAACAGTGCTGTACTTGTGCTGGGGGGTTGGCAGCTTTGTAAGTAGGCTACTGAGAGAGCAGGGGCAGAGCTGGCACTACCCACCTGATAGAATGAATAGAATGATAAAATAGAATGATAAAATGATAGAAAGAATAGCTTACCCCTTTCTAAGGATCAGGGCTTATTGGACACTCCAAAGGAGATAATCTCCAAGTTGAGATGCTTCTGTTGCAGCTGTCAGCCCTTAAATGAGGTCCACTCCTTCCTGTTGTACAGATGAATTGCTTGTACCTGTGCTCCCAGAGCTGGCTACACCCGTTCACCAGTTGCTCAATCAGTAGTTCAGGCCATGACCTAACAGTTCCAATACGAAGCTATATTGCTTTTCATTCTCTGGTAGTTTGTTACAGTGAGGTTTCTTCAGCACACATCATCTCTTCCTCATAAGTTGCCAGTATCATTTTTTCAGTTGGAGTATAGCAGGCTTCAGATTGTCTGCATTTTTGACTCCAAAACCCTAGGGGCTAACCTTAAGTCTCTCCTGTGGCTTTCTGGTACCGCATGAAACTTCCAGCATTTTCCCTTGCTGCAGTGCAGAGCATGGTTTTTACATCTTGTCCTGTCCTCACTGGCTCAAGGGCAACTGCATGAATCTCCTGTTTAATTAGGTCAAAGGCTTGTTTCACTCCATGTGAAATTGTTGTTCTGGGTCACTTGATAGAGAGGGTTTACAATTAAATTTGGAATGCATTCTCCAAAAACCCACAATACCTAAGAAAGCAAAAAGGAAACATAAGCTACTTGATAGGGACATAGCAGTTATTTTGTTGATCACATTCACACAATCTGACCACATCCATCTTGCCATTTCATTCCTTAGAACCGGATTTCCTGTGCAGGTCCCTTGACCTTACTTTGCTTTGTGGCAAAACCATATTTCAGAAGGATTTGGATTACTTTTTTCCCTTTCCCAGAAACTACTTCTGCTGTGTTGCCCCGTATGATGATGTTATCAATATACTGCAGCCATTCAGGAGTTTCTTCCTGTTCCAGTGCAGCATGGATCAGCCCATGGCAAGTGGTAGGGGCTGTTTCCACCCCTGGAGCAGTCAATTTCAGGTGTACTTGATACCCCTCCCAGTGAAAGCAAACTTTGGCCTATAAATCTGCCACTAAAGGGACTGAGAAAAAGCACATTGGCAATCAGTTGCAGCATATCACTTGGCTGCCTTTAACTCCAGTTTGTATTCAAGTTGTACCATGTTGGATACAGCAGCACTGAGTAGTGGCCTGAGTTCATTCAGGCCACGATAATCCACTGTTAGCCTCCACCCTCCCCTGTACTTAGGTATTGGCCATATGGACTGTTAAAGGGTGAACAAGTCTTGCTGATGAGACTGGTAAAGTGCTGAAACAAACTGCCCGGAGAGGTTATGGATGCCCCATCCCTGGAGGTGTTCAAGGCCAGGTTGGATGGGGCCCTGGGCAGCCTGGTCTAGTATTAAATGTGGAGGTTGGTGGCCCTGCCTATGGTAGGGAGGGTTGGAGATTCATGATCCTTGAAGTCTCTTCCAACCTAGGCCGTTCTGTGATTATTCCATAGCCCTCCAATTGATAAACTGCTTATGGATAGGAATCAGGGTCATTTTAGAGACTAGGCAAGGTAGACAGTCGCTTAATGTCCTCCAAGTCAGCTATACCAAAAGCTCACTGGTACCCTTTCAGGTCCTTGAAGTACCCTCTCCTGAGGTAGTCTGTACCAAGGATGCATGGAGCTTCCAGGCCAAGTCACAATGGGGTACTTTTGCCACTCCTTCCCTGTTAGGCTCACTTCAGCTTCCAATACAGTTAGCTCTTGGGATCCCCTGCCGCTCTAGAAATACAGATGGGTTCTGTTCCTTTAGAATTTGATGGCATTAGGTTATAAAATGCACGTGTCCACTAGAGCCTAATACTCCTGTGGTTCTGATGTGCCTAGCAATTGAATCCATACAATCCAATAAACCAGACTGTACCTTTCCTCCAACTGGAGGCAGGGCCCCTCTAGTCCTGGTTATTATATTAATCACTCCCTGAACACTGAACCAAAAGGCTTGTTATCAACCTCAAAAATAAAATCAGTCCATCTTTGCTGGTCTGGTGACTGCCCACTGGAAACAGGAACAGCTATTTTCCTGGAGTGATCCCTTTTCAGCTGTTGTTTGCAGCTCTCATACCCCTGCACCTAGAGTTGAAATGGATTTTCCAACCCACTTCTTCATATCCTCTCTACAGTCACACAGGTAAAACTACAGGTGCCTTGTGGTGTGTATATGTTCCCTCCCTTAATCAGAAAAAGGCTTAATGCTAATGGCTGAATTACTGGAACTCCCAGTACGGTTTCTCCACAGCTGTAACATAGGCCTATAGGGACAAAGAGAGATGACAGAAAAATAGAATGGCTTAGATTGAAAAGGACTACAATAATAATCTAGTTTCAACCCCCCTCCCATGGGCAGGGTCGTCAACCACTAGACCAGGCTGCCCAGAGCCACATCCAGCCTGGCCTTGAATGTCTCCAGGGATGGGGCACCCACAACCTCCTTGGGCAACCTGTTCCATTGCGTCACCACCCTCTGAGTGAAAAACTTCCTCCTAATATCTAACCTAAACCTCCCGTCTGGGTTTAAAACCATTCCCCCTTGTCTTACCGCTACCCACCCTCGTAAACAGTCGATCCCCTCCTGTTTATATGCTCCCTTCAAGTACTGGAAGGCCATAATGAGGTTTCCCCAGAGCCTTCTCTTTCCCTGTCCATCACAGAATCACCCGGGTTGGAAGGGACCTCAAGGATCATGTAGTTCCAACCCCCCTGCCTAGCAGGGCCACCAAACACACACATCAATGCCATCACTCCATCATAGAAGGCCACCACATTGGTCAGGCACGATCTGCCCTTGGTGAAGCCATGCTGGCTGTCTCGGATCACCTCTTTATCTCATGTGCCTTAACATA